AAGATTAGAGAAATTGCGGTTTTTTTTGCAACGGATTAGCGACTTGGTGGTTTTCCGCAAACCTAGCCGCAAATGTGGTGGTTTTTTGCAATTGACTCGAGGAAACGAGGAGAAACGGAGGTTTTCTCTCCTCCAGCGGCTAGTTTGTACTAAAGTAGGTTGAATGATCTAATCTTTTGAAATATGGTGGCCGAAGTCACTGTATCAGCATGGAGGTGCCTGTGCCTCCCCCCGCGGGGATTTTTTTTTTAGAATGTTGCTATTTTTAAACGCGTGTATATATGATCCGATTGGAGGTTAGAACTCAAGCAAGGTTTATGTATGTGGTCACTTTTTTTTAGTTGTATGTGGTCACTTTCATCTTGGTTCCAAACGACAGAGAAAAAGAATCCCAACCGGCCGGGGACGTACAAAAACGTATCTAGTACGTGCTTGGAATCAAAGATCAACGCGAAAGTGACGACTCTTGTCATGAAATATGGTGGCCGAGGTGTTCGGAGGCGATCGAGAGGCCAAGCGGAATGGCTGGGCGGGAACGACACTACAGGTGTTGCAGGCGTTCAGGCTCCTCTCCCCGCTGTGGAACTCTGCGGCCGTGGCGCCGTCTTCCGTGCGGATCACGCGTCCCGGGACAACTGTTCTTATGACGCGGACGTGGACGATGCGGCCGCGTTGTTGGCGAGGTTTCTCGGCGGACCATATGCGCCAGCCCTGGCTGCCTTCGCGTCCGGGGAGTGGGTCCACCTCCGGCGTGGCCGTGGGGCGGTCATTCCTCGCACTTGACCTCACGAGAGCGCCGGCCGGCTCCTGTGCCCAGGTGGCCAGGGAGGGACGAGGTTGCAGAGGACCAAGGGAAGGCCATGACGCAGGGCGAAGTTGCCGACGGGCGATAGGAGGGCTGAGTCGTCGGCGTACGGAGCCGGACTAGCCGGTGCCAGCCGTGGCTATAGGTAGTACGTAGGGCTCTAGAACTGAATTGTACTATACGAGAGGAACTTACATAGGAGCATAGAAGAGTATGACGGTGATAATGCTGCCGGCGATGCTGACACCGGTGAGGGCGGACGACGCGGCGGGCTGCACGATGCGGCCGGCAACGTTGCTTGATACGTGGCCGGCGACCACCACGGAGGACATGACGTAGACAGTCACCTAAACCACGGCAAGACCGCCAGAGCAGCTGTGCCAAGGGAAGAGAGGCCGGCCGGGCCGGGTGAGCTAGCGTCGTTTTTGCTGGTTTGGTCGACAAAGAAAAGAAATGAATTGAATGAATAGAGGAGGAAGAAGAATGGTTTAGTACTAGTATGCATTTAGGCGTCCGATCTGCACAAAACAAACCTTTTGTTAGCGCCCACTCTTGCGGGACGATGAGTATTCCTGGAGGTGGAGCTGGCTTGGATATTGCTAACTCAATCTTTCTTTAGTTTTGCAAAAAAAATTAAGGAAAGGCTTATTTTTCCCGGGACCGCCTGCAGCTAGTTTAAATTTTCGAATTTCAATAATATTTTGGCAGGTACGTGCAGAAATATTTTATAACCTTTATATTTCAGTCTGGATTCAAACCAAGTCCAAAACACGTTGAAATTAGGTCAAAACTTGCTAAAATTCAGTGAGTTATGATAGAAATAATTCCCAAACAATTTCCCGTTTATAGAATTTGGGTGATGCCCGGAATTTCTGTTACCGGGATTTTGAACTCCGGTCCGGCCAAATATTAAATTATTCTGCAAAAAAAAGGCGTTTGCATGTGTAGCCACTATTGAGCTATATATGTAGACACAATCCAGCCTTCTCTCATTTTGAATATATCTAACCGCCGATCGATCCAGTAAAAGAAAACTCTTGAAAATCAAGCAAGATTTGAGAGAATAGTTTTAGGGATTGGAAGAACCATGGAGAGGATTTGGGGAAATTTCTGGACCATTCTCCTCGGTCCCTCTCTCTGTATACATCTATAGTATGTGTACATTTTACATTTTAGTCCCTAAGGAACTAGGTAAATATAGTCATACACCAACACTCCCCCTCAAGATGGGGCAAATACATCATACAAACCCATCTTGCTACAAAATATGGAGAATGTTTTTTCGGGGAGTCCTTTTGTAAGGACATCTGCTACCTGACTAGCTGAGGTTACATACGGTAGGCAAACTATCCCTCTATCAAGCTTCTCCTTAATAAAATGACGATCAATTTCTATGTGCTTGGTTCGATCATGCTGAACAGGGTTATTTACAATGTCAATGGCAGCTTTGTTGTCACAGTACAACATCAGAGGCTTGCACCTGTACAGCCGCAGCTCTGCTAGGAGGATATGTATCCATAGTAACTCACATATGCCGTGAGCCATAGATCTAAACTCAGCCTCTGCAGTAGATCGAGCCACTACACCTTGCTTTTTACTTCGCCAAGAAACTAGGTTTCCTCCTACAAATGCACAATAACCAGATGTTGAGCGTCGGTCATCTAGGGAACCAGCCCAATCAGCGTCAGTATAGCACTCAACTTGTAAGTCTCCTTGTCTGGTATATAAAAGGCCTCTTCCTGGGCACCCTTTAAGATACCTTAGGATCCTGTTTACAGCTTCCATATGAGCTGATTTTGGGTCATGTATATACTGGCTAACTACACTCACAGCAAAAGCAATATCTGGACGAGTATGAGCTAAATATATTAACCTTCCAACAAGTCTCTGATAGCGCTCTCGATCCACGGGTGTACCTGCATCACTACTTAAACGATGATTTTGCTCAATAGGTGTAGCTGCAGGTCGACAACCAAGCATACCTGTTTCCTTGAGCAAATCCAAGATATATTTCCGTTGTGAGAGAAAAATGCCCTTTGACCCCCGTGAGACCTCTATACCAAGAAAATATCTCAGTTTTCCCAAGTCCTTCACTTCAAATTCCTGTGCAAGATGATGCTTCAGATTTGCAACTTCAGTGGAATCATCTCCGGTAATCACAATGTCATCGACATACACTATCAGTATTGCAACCTTGCTATTACTATGCTTGTAGAATAGTGTATGGTCAGCATTGCTTTGAACATAGCCCCTTTTCAGCATGGATTGTCTGAACCGGTCAAACCAAGCTCGTGGTGACTGCTTTAAGCCGTATAGAGAACGATGTAGGCGCAACACCTTTCCACCGGTTTGACTGGACTCAAACCCAGGAGGTATATGCATGTATACTTCTTCTTGGAGATCACCATGAAGGAAACCATTCTTCACATCCATCTGGTAAATATCCCAATCAAGGTTTACAGCACATGACATAAGTGTCCTTACCGAATTCATCTTTGCCACCGGTGAAAAGGTCTCTTCATAGTCGATTCCATATGTTTGTGTGTAGCCCTTCGCCACAAGACGGGCTTTATACCTCTCCACCTTTCCCTCGGGGGTCTGCTTAATAGTGAAAACCCACTTACAACCTACAGGTTGCTTACCTGGTGGTAGATCCACGAGCTCCCAAGTCTCATTCTTCTCCAAGGCTTTCATCTCATCAAACATTGCTTCCTTCCATTTTGGATCCTCTATAGCTATTTTCCAATTAGATGGTATGGACACAGAGTCTAAAGAGGCAATAAAGCTTTTGAAGGGTGGATTAAAATATTCATAGGAAATGAAATTGGCAATATCATGTTTATAATCTTTGAGGTGTCCTGGAATGTTTCGATTTCTAGTAGGTTTTCGCAAAGCAATCGGTAGATTATTTTCAGGAGCAAGGGTAGATAATTGATTCTCACTCTGCCCCGCGGTGCTAATAGGAGTGGCGGAACTACATGGGTTAGTGTTAGTACCTGGGTCCTCATGCATGTGAAGCTCACCGTCTTGTGAAGGAAATGAAGAATTTTCTATTGCATTTTCTGTGTCTCCATGACCAGAACCATTATTGCACCCATCATTATTTGTCTCCTCCCCCTGATTTTGAGCATTATCTAGAATGGGTAAACCACTCGAAGTGGAAACAAGAATGGGGCTTAATGGAGAGTCTACATTACTACTCTCCCCTTCTTGTTGCACTTCACGTGGGGATAATGCAATGCCAGTGTCACTTGTTGAGCCATAATATGGTTCATGCTCACGGAACGTCACATCCATGCTCACAAAAAACCGGCGCTCTGAAGGGCACCAACATCTATAACCCTTTTGAGAGGAGGAATAACCCATGAAAACACATTTGAGAGCACGGGGATCTAATTTTCCAACAGAGTTCCTATAATCATGCACAAAGCACACACACCCAAAGACCTTTGGAGGAACTACAAAGTCATTAGAATTCAAGAGACACTCAGCGGGAGTCTTGTGACCAAGAACCTGAAGAGGCATATGGTTTATCAAATATGCTGTGGTTTTTATTGCTTCCCCCCAAAGAAATTTAGGCACATTCATTGTAAACATAAGTGAGCGTGCAACCTCAAGCAAATGTCTATTTTTACGCTCTGCAACACCATTTTGTTCCGGAGTATCAACACAGGTAGTTTGATGTTCAATGCCATTTGAGGCAAGGAACTGTCCAAACTCGTTGTTGATATATTCAGTACCATTGTCTGAACGCAAGGTTTTAATAGTTGCCCCATGTTGATTTTTAATGAGAGCACATAAATCCTTAAAAACCAAGAACACATCACTCTTATGCTTCAAGAGATAAAGCCAAGTGTAACGACTAAAGCAATCAATAAAAGTCACAAACCATTGGTGCCTAGAAATGGAACGAACCTCACAGGGTCCCCAAACATCCGAGTGAATCATTTCAAATGGTTTGGCACTTCTTAAACCTATACTAGGATAGAAACCCCTTGTATGTTTAGCTAACTCACAAGCATCACATACAAGGAGCTCCTTGAGACACAACTTGAAAAGAGAGGGGTAAATACGTAATAATGCAGCAAAAGATAGATGGCCAAGCCTGCGATGATGGAGTAGCAGTTCTTGGCTAGGAGACAAGCATGATGCAAAAGCAACTTCATCACTTCCTTCATCAAGATAGTAGAGTCCATCATGCACGGTCCCAGTCCCCAACAGTCTCCCTGTCGCTAGCTCCTGAAAAGCACAACAGGTAGGATCAAACCAACCTCTACAGTTAAGGGATTTAGTAATAGAGCTAACAGATAAGAGGTTGATTGGAAATTTAGGAACATGTAGGACCGGGGATAAGGACAATGTCTTAGTGCACCTAACGGATCCATGTCCTACAATAGGTGCCATGGATCCATCAGCTACACGTACCTTGTCCTTACCTGAACAAGGTGTGTAAGAAGTGAACAAATTTGAGGCTCCTGTCATGTGGTTAGTAGCTCCTGTATCAATAACCCAAGGGTTTGATTGTGTTGTAGAAGTGTGGGTCTGGTGAGGTTTCATACCTTGGTGTGAATTGATATAGAAACTAGATTCAGCTTTAGAGGAATCCTGGGAAGTAGACGAGCCTTCTGAGAGTCTAAGCTTGGAAGTAAAATCCTCAAGAGCTCGCACATCGACCACTGGTAGCTCCCCCTTGGATGTAGTGAGGTTAGCTTGTTTTTTGTTTGCTCCATGAACTCCCCCTGGCCGAGACTTTCCTTTTTCCCACCAAGTTGGAAAGCCATGCAGCTCAAAGCATGCATCCTTTATGTGTCCAGTCCTTTTACAATGGTTGCAGAAAAGTTTGTTTTTATCTGATTTGCCAACAAACTTTGGGGCACGTCGAGCTTGCATGGATAAGGCTGCACGAGCATCTGTATACTTTAGGCCATTCTTAGGCTGAGCCAACCGAGTCTCCTCCTCTATCACACTTGAGATAACATCATCAAGACTAAGCCACTCAGTTTTTGAGAATATAAGTTGGCGTCGAAGGTCAAATTCCTCATTTAAGCCATCAAGAAAGAGCTTGCTCACAAATGGCTCAAACCAGGTATGATGAATAGCCAAGTCTTGTTTGTCAACGGGCTCAAAGGGATGATAATAATGCAGTTCTCTGTACAGTCTTTTGGTCTCACCAGCATACTCTGTCACAGACTTTGCACCTTGCTTCAGGTTTGTCAATTCATGCATAATACGATTACCTTGCATTTTATTGGATCTCCCTGCAAACTGCTTCTCCAAAGCTGCCCATACTTCAGATACAGTAGTCATAGTCTCAACTTGTTCTCGAATTGGTGGTTCCATGCTTCCTAATAACCAGACCAACACTCTGTCATTAACCTGTTTTGCACTAGTGTCACTTAGCTGTTTTCCTTCATCAGCACTAAGCAAGTCATTATAACCATGAGAACTCAGGATTAACTGGGCATGTCGTGCCCAGCTAATGTAATTGCCCGGTCCAGCCAGCTTTACTGGATTAGGCTCAAGTGCATATTTGATTCCTTCAGGAACCACTCTGAGTTGTTGCTGCTGCTCAAACATTTTGCTGAAAATTTCATATAGCTTATCCACACTAGAATCCCCTGCTTTATCCTTGCTTGGATCTGCCATAGTTCACCACGACAAAACAAACACCCAGTCACACAGGACTTGTTTTTTAGCACTCCACCAGCAACACACTTGTACACAATGGCAAGTAGATGTATTAGTATGAGTTGCTCTCAGATGCACACACGCAACACAAGCAGAATATTTTAATCCGGCCACCAAGCAAAGATAAGCTTGACTTGACGAGCTCACAGTCAGTGAGTACTAATTGCAATAATCCAAAGGGAATCACAGGTGCTATTATCACCTTCTCATACAGATGGTCAGATGCAGAGGAGGCAGTGGCCGTATATTGGCGGATGACAGCAAGAAGCTCGCCTGCAGATTAACAAATCTGTATACCGGCGGCAGTGCGGCTAGATGCGGCAAGACATCACTAGCTTCTCGTTTTCTTATCAACTAACACAGGGGCGACTTGATGATTCAAAGCTTACCGCCTAGCCGCCGTAGTCAAGCTGGCGAATCTGGACGGCAACACAGCACCGCCAACCTCAAATCACAGAAGAAACGCAGTGGATTTCAACCTGCTCCGATGCCATCTTGAAAATCAAGCAAGATTTGAGAGAATAGTTTTAGGGATTGGAAGAACCATGGAGAGGATTTGGGGAAATTTCTGGACCATTCTCCTCGGTCCCTCTCTCTGTATACATCTATAGTATGTGTACATTTTACATTTTAGTCCCTAAGAAACTAGATAAATATAGTCATACACCAACAAAAACTAAGAATCTAACCAGGCCAGGTAGTGTTTTCAATCAAGATAATAAACGTGTAGCTGGGCAAGCGAAAGTCGAACGGCAACAAATCGTGCAAGTCAAAGAAAGGCGAGACACCAGATATGATAGTAATGTGAAAGCAACTCACACAGCCTTGCCAATAAGGAGGAGAAGGAACGCCCGGAAAGAGGAGGAAGCACCAGCAGCTGATAGAGACTAATGTTCTCTTCTTCTGTAGAAAATGGGAGTTTGCGTCGCCTTCGGTGCGGACAACCAACCAGGTACGACTTCACCCCCCCTCAAAAAAAGAGGTAATATCACTAGTAGTCATACAACTTGCGCTGGATGTTCAGTTTGGTGCTAAAACTTGTAAAATATGAATTTGCAGTCACCTAACTTGTTGATTGGTGCAACGGTGCATTCTACTGTATCCAGGTGTACATCCTACCTACATGGCATGCCAGCAGCCCACATGTCAGTGTGTAGGGGTAAATATTTCCAGATAACTCCCTACGCAAAAAAAGTTGAACAGTGTTATAAGAGAAAAGAAATAAACATCGTTTCGAACTACATATCTTCAGAAGGCGAACACACCAGGTAAACCAGCAAACCAAACGCAGTTTGATGTTTCGGAAGAATAACTAGTTTCTATTAACTACTCCCAGCGCACCTGGGCCTGCCAGCTCAAATGGGCTATGATTAGTAGAGCCCATTTTCCACCTTTTTTTTTTTAGAAAATTGTATGTAAATTATGATCTCAGTAATGATAGTATATTGATGGACTAAAAAATGTTTCTATAATTTAAATTAATCCAAATATTTGTAAAATTACAATTCAAAAATATGATGCAAAACTTTAATGCTCATAGATGAGTGCATTTTTAACATATAAATGAGGGAGCCACTAGGTCTCGAACCCATGAGGCCGCGACCAAAAACACTCTATTGTCTATACATACAGAACATGATTTGTAAATCAAAAAGTTTCATATAAGCTTGAGTTTAGTAAAACATAAGTAATAAAGTTATGTTCAAATATCAGTTTGTTAAAAATACTATACATACAAAAAATAAAATATTTAAATATAAACACATGTATTATATTAGACATGACTGAATATTCATATCAACAATTTAAATGTTGTGAATCAACCTGTGGTTGAGTTGGTTAGGTGGACAGTGGTATCCCCAACCCACCAGGGTTCAAATCCTGGTGCTCGCATTATTCCTGAATTTATTTCAGGATTTCCGGCTATGCACTTTCAGTGGGAAGAGACGTTCCCGTCGACGACGAGGCGCCTACGGTGACTTCGTAAATCTCAAGATGATATGCCGGCTCAGTCTCTCGGATGTGCTCATAGAGGTAGGGTGTGCGTGTGTGCGTTCATAGGGGTGAGTGTATGCGCGTGTATATGAGCGCTTGTGTCTGTACTGATGCTCAAAAAAAAAATTAATGTTAAATTATGGATATGTAATTACATGGAAATTGAACTATACAAATGTTCATATAATTATTGAAAGGTTTGTAAAACTAAAATAATAATTTGGAGTTTTAATTTTACAAACATTTGTATCATTTGAAATTATACACACATGTTCGTTATACATAATTATTTTTTAATATATAATATTTGTAAAATAGTACATGAGCAGTTTGAGAGTAAGTTATTTCATTTGTACTCCCCCGTCCCAAAATATAAGAACGTTTTTAACACTATATTAGTGTCAAAAACATTGTTATATTATGGGACGGAGGGAGTATAATAATATTTATAACACAAATATTTAAACATTATTTTTTTGACCGAGATCATAATTTACATTTTTTTAGACAAAGATCATAATTTACATACTATCTACAAATTTCTACCAAAATCAAAGATGCAAAATGGGGTACACAGATCATAGGCCATTTGAGCTAACAGGCCCACATATTTTAAGATGAGGATATAAAATGTAGTTATCCTTACTATGCATCATGTGTCACCGGTCGCGCTGGTTGACCACGTGTGCGTACCTTCCCTTCTGAAGGTTGCGAGTTCGAATACCGGCCCCTCTATATGACGACTTATCAATTTTAACTTACATTATTCAATGGCAGGTGGGCCTCACCTGGGCTTTTTTGCGCGTTTGATGTAACCACCTCTTGAACTATTGTAACTTCTTCTATCAACGGAAAGATACATATGCTTTTGCGTATTCGCAAAAAAAATACACACATGAGAGGAATGCAATATCGAGCCAGTGTGGAGTACACCGTTGCTCTCACCACGGAAACGGAGAGAACTCAACTTTTGCCTTGCAGTCACCACTTTCTTCTGGAACGTTCTTGAGAGAGCCCATGCCGGGAGATTCTGCTTTCCACAAATGTGTGTCGACAAGCGATCGGAAGGCCGAGGTTTAGGCGTTATCGTTGTTGGAACAAAGTTTGGACATAACAATTGAGTTTCTTTTTCTTAAACTTAAGGAGTTCCTTGAGACGACTATATGTCACTCGTTGACTCCTGAAGATTTCCTACTCATGGACTAGCCCACGGTAGGAGAAGTAACATCGTGCCCGTTGCGAGACAGAAGTTTTTCTCGCCTTCAGCGTTCCCGCGAATGGGCCAGCCAAGCAAGCGTTTTTTCTGCACATAGGAAAGTTCGTTCTTCTGCTGTGCAACATTTTTCTGGTTTGGGTTTTTTGTTCTTTTTCCCCTTTTTTGCTTTCTTTTTCTGTTCCGTTTTTTACTTGTTTTTTGTTTTTCTTCCTTCTAGATATTTTTATATTGCATAAACATATTTTTTAATGGTGCAAAACATTTTTGATAAATTATGTGAACATTTATTAACATTTTTAGATATCACAAACATATTTTTGAAATGCACAGCCATCTTTTAAAAGTTACGAAGAATTTTTTGAATGTTACCAAGTTGCATGTACATTTGTGTACACTGCATGAACATTTTCAATGAGCGATTAACTTTTTTCAAATTTAAGTAAAATATGTTTCTATTTCAGAAGTATATAAGTATGAAAGTAATAAAGAAAAAAGTGGGCTAGGGAACCGGCGCTGCCGCTGCGCTGGGCTGGACCATTTTTATCATCCTTGCAGCCCATTTCCATCCTCACATGTACTCCTACATAGCACTGAACTAAAGTTATTTCTCAAAAAAAAGCACTGAACTGAAGTCAAATACACCCCTAAAAAAAACTGAAGTCAAATACAGAAGTCGTCAGTCTCAGCCGCCGCCACGCCTCACCCCTCAAAAAAAAATTATTTTCTTTCGCCGCCTATAGTTCATATAAAAAAAGGGAAATGGTTCCTTTCGTCCGGCTGATCTCTTGGTTTTATCCGTCGCCTCCCACAAACAACACGTGGTCCACTTCCACGGACGTTGCTACCTCTTCTTCGCCTTATCCTCACAGGAGGCTTCCTTCGAGCAGATCCAACACCATCCCCAACTCCCATCCTCCAACAACAATCCACTATGGCGTCTGTGCCTCCTCCTGCTCCATGGCGCCGGGTGACCTTGGTGCTCTGTTGTGAAAAATAAAATCTACAACTGCGCCATCGCGGTTTGTCGTCGCAGCCGGGGTCTTGCACGGTCGTCGCCGTTGTCCGCCTCCACCATGACGTTTGGGCATGCACGGTGCACCACCTCACTTGTTGAGGTGACCTTGTCAGGGGTCCGGCACTCGCCGGCGGCAGCGCCATAGCGGGAAAGGGCGGCGCCAGTCCTTCCTCACCACCGTCCAACGGGCTCGGGGTGAACGGTGGTGATGTTTTGTTTTGCAACATTCAATATGTTGCAAAAAGGATTTCTGCAACATCAGTCATGTTGCAAAAGTTTCTTCCGTAACACCATATAAAGGTGAAGACAAAGATTAAAAAAATGCAACATCACCTCAGTTGCAATTTTTTTTTGCAACAATACCTATGTTTCCAAAAAAATGATGACAACAAAATTCTGCAACGGCCTATGTTGCAAAAAAAATAAATCCTGCAGTTGCAAAAAAAAGAAAAGAAAATCCACAACACAATCTCTATTACAAATGTTTCCTCAACGAAAGCTTTGTTGCAAAGAACAGAAACCCGTTTAGCCGCTTGATTTTCTCAGATCAGACCTCTCAAGACCAGGACTATAAGTATGAAAGTAATAAAAGAAAAAAAGTGTGGAACCGGGGCTGCCGCCACGCTGGGCTGGACCATTGGGGGCGTCCTTGAGCCGCTCCCTTTTTTCTATCAACGGTGGCCACTTTCCCTTGCGGCCCATTTCCATCCTCACATGACATAGCACTGAACT